TGGGTCCACTCGGCACGGCGGCCACTGATTGGCCTATTGTACTTGTCCCGGGTGACTAGGATGATGAAGAATTTGGTGGAATGAAGATTGACAGGGGAAACCGAAGTACTCGGATATAACCTGCCCCAGCGGCACTTTCTCCACCATAAAACCCACTTGATCAGACCCGGGATTGAACCCGGGCCTCCGCGGTGGAAAGGCAGCGATTAACCGCTTAAGCTATGGCGCGGCCAAATCCACATTACATTAATTCACTAACAAGAGACATAATTGAACACACTGCCTGAAGATGGCCCATATGCGGGCCGAAACATGTAGCAACTATGAAATGAAACCGATGTGAGCAGTTCGCTTGGTTTACTTTTTCTTAATGTTGTGTTGACTACTAACTCTCACTATCAGTCTAACGTTATGTAGTCTGAACTGCCGACAGCGTTGTCAAATGACCCGTGAACACTACTGAAATTTACTGTACCTGTGACTGGACGTAAAACCGCCGAATAAGCACTTCTCCATATGAGGTTAATTCACAACAGTTCATTACATCTTGTTCCAATTAATTACTAAGGAATCTATATTTGTCCTTTGATATAGGACCAACACGATAAATGATACAAACTCCGTCCTAAGTGCAAACAATATATATTTATATGTCTTTGATCTTGTTCTTTCTACACTACATGTTTCGGCCTCTATCGGCCATCATCAGGTGTATACTCTTAACGTTGCTGCCACACTGAACCCAGTCTAAAACTTAACATTTAAAAACACAATGTCACATTCTTCGTATTATCAACATCTACATCGTTGATATGTGTCTGGTATGTAGATTATGTTGCACACGTCAAACCCGATATTCTTGTAGTAGCACTCTAAAAATCTTTAGTTATGANACACCTGATGATGGCCGATAGAGGCCGAAACATGTAGTGTAGAAAGAACAAGATCAAAGACATATAAATATATATTGTTTGCACTTAGGACGGAGTTTGTATCATTTATCGTGTAGAGTGCAACAGGATGCTTAAATATAATATAGGACCAACACCTTTTTATATATTAGACCTATTTTCAACCAGCACTAATGAATTCTGGCTTACACAATTGTTTTATTCTTCTTCTTCCTCCTCTACTTCAACCATTAGGCACCAAACCTTGTTGTGGCTCCTCAAGTTTGGTCTTGCCAAATTTTTTCTGGGTCACCCAAGGCTTCTTGATAATACAACATTTGTCTGGGAATTCTATTTTCAGTCATTCGTGATACATGGTTTGCTTTTCATTTCTCTCTGTACTTATTGCCTCCAATTAACTTTTCAAAAGCCAATGGTACCACGTGCTTTAACACGTTGAAAATCTGCAGTTTGCCTACAGAGTATATTTATATGCTCCGCATGATTCTCACAATAAACACAGACTGTTTCCCTAAACAGCCTTAACCGGCTGGTTTCTGTAGCGGAGGTATAACTTGTTTCATATTAGGTACGAACTTAATTATTATATATTATTTAGATGAAATAGAACAAGGCGAAGCCAGACATACAAAATACACAAGGCTTATTTGGCGATAGCCAAGCTTACTACCGTTCAAGTGACTAAGCTGCCGTTGTAGCATAAGTTAAATAAGATGGGCATGATCTGCTTTGCGAAGACTGGACTGACAGAGGACTTGCATGTAGTGCAGTAGGAAACCAGCGACCAACCGCCTGAGCTATGGCGCGGCTTTCTAGAATATAACCCCGTGTAATCCAGTAACATTAAATCTACTTTCTGGACGATATTATCTTCGGAGTTGACCGCACCATAGCTCAAGAGGTTAGTCGCTGGTTTCCCACCGCGGCGGCCCGGGTTCGAACCCGGATCTGCTAATGTGGGATTTGTGGTCGACAAAGTGGCGCTGGGGCGGGTTTTCTCCGAGAACTTCGGTTTCCCCTGCCAATCTTCATTCCACCAAATTCTCCGTCATTATAAACACCCTGGGCAGGCTACAATAAGCCAATCAGTGGCCGTCGTGCCGAGTGCACCCAGTTGGCCTCCACCCCCCACTATGAGAATTTAAAAAAAATCAGGCAGCTAACCGCAGAAATCGGTTGACTTTCACAGGACTGTACGGTGTCACATCCCAGATGATTAAACTTCATAAGCACACCGGTGAGAGCCTCAAATCTTACATAACAGAGCAACAATTAGTATTTAAATAACTGCTCCTTTCATGAAGTTACAACAGATCTGTTTATAGGATTATCAGTTCACGTCTCTACTTGAGCTAACTCAATTCTATGTAACAGCACGACCCGAATATGCTTTGTGCATCATACAGCCAGGCCAGTCACACATACGTGTCTTAAAGGGTTTTGTAGCTGTGTTATTCGTAAATATATTTTTGTTAATAATTTATCTGCAGCTTCTCAGTGGATTCAACAGTGATGCTCACATACAAGAGAATAACCTGGCTATGTGCTTCTAATCCTAAACAAATCACCCAGCAGTGCACTAAACACGACAATTGCAACTATTTCCTACTTGTTTCGGACTCTCCAAACCTTCAGAGTTCTCTTTGGCGAATACACTGAAGTTCCTAACCTAGACACAACGCGCAGACAGACAGCTTTCTGCTGGTACGTGGATATAAATGTGAATTTTCGAGAGAGATACTGCAATCATTGTCCGTGTTTTTAGACTTGGCCACTCTCAACAAAATGCAGTGGATTTGGTAGCCTGTATTAACTGAGATAAGGATTGTAGAGTGTGTATGATTGTAAAAATACCTTAGTTATAGCCCCTCACAATCCCTGTCTTCCATAAATCAGCTGAAACCACCGCCCCACTTCTCTTTTCCATATTACTTCTCCCTTTCACGCGTGCGTAGTCCAGAGGCTAGGCAAGTTAACACTGTGGCAACCGTAGTAATATCGAATAATTCTGAGTAAAGAAGCAGATAGGGTTAATTATAGTATCTGTGTAAGTAGTTCTGATTAAGACTGCATTTATTGTGTTTAGGTAGCAACAACTAGAACAAGAAGGATTTTCATTTCTTGTAATATTAAATTAATTCTCATTAAGAATTCCAGTAAAAAGTTTTCACAGTTCAGGATGATTCGTGTATATGTTTGATTAACATGCTCTTGCACGCTGAAAGCAATCCATACGGGACAAATGATAGAAAGTAAGAGTCGTACTTCAGAAAGGAATGAATGCCCACACCATTAATTTATCCACAACCATACAGAACATTAACAGCATACATGACATGAACTCATAATTGATCTGACCTTCCAAACACATCTCTTCTACAGTAATATTACATTGCAACTTCATTTCTTCAAAATACTTAAATATTTTAGGGTCAAATATGAATTTGAAAGTACACTGTCTTCTTTGGTACATTATTTATAAATATATTCCTTGTCACATTTAAATTTATATATATCTAAAATGCAAATCAACTAAAATATGTTTAACCTATTTTGTATCAAGTTTCCTTATGTATTTTTATATAAGAATAAACCATTTATATGACACACAGATTTACTGAGTTTTTGGACTTTTCCCAACATCCGATAGTCTAGAGGTGTTGTTCAGGGATTGGGATTAGCTCTTTCTAAAGGGACCTCCAGAATAGATGTCTTCTTCCTTCACCTGAGGACGGAAACCGATCTATTTTCCGAAACACGGCGTTTTCTATTTTCTAGAATACCGGACGTTGGAAAGATTCCAAAAACCCAGTAATTCTGAGTGTTATACAACATCGTGAGATCCCTTCAGAATCTACATTTACGCGACTTTTTCAAGTTTCATTATTTTTAAATTTTTCTGAGCGAGATTAATTAATCTGACATTTTACCGGATAATTCGAAACATATGAAATCTGCTGAGAAATATTTAGTTAAGTTACGTCGCGTAGGGCATTTCTTCAATTTCGTTTCTTTCTAATTCTGGCACTTAATGACATGAATTTTGTCTGCCGTGTCTTCAGTACGATGAAAACTGTATCACGAGTTCTGTGATAGAGTAACCAAATTTGAAAAATATTTGTGTCTGATATGTATTTTAATAAATATATGTGATATTTTCACCTATTATTTTAAACACCTGACGTCAGCAGGCAAATAGGAAGGAATGCATAGCGAAGCGGCAGAAAACTAACTGCGCACGTTAGCCCTGACAGATGCCTGGCACCAGAACTGTATAAACCTTTGGGCTTTTAAATGCAGGACAAGGAATATTTTCAAGCTTTCGCGAATGTATTTATTGTGCAATTGTGAAATATTTGCAAATCATATACATATATGCCTCCCTTAATCATATAAAGAAACACCATGTTTCAAATTAAAATGATACTTCTGCAAGAATGTCTCATGTATTGAACTTTTAATTTATTTTAAATTCTTTATTATTATCATGAAAATTTTGTATATCTTAAAACTACGTAATGTAAATTACTTTCTATCAAGGAAAGAATTCCTCAACATTATTCCAAATTGACTAGAACTTCACACGTTCCATTCTAACTTCTCAAACCTGTTCTTGAATTCGCTTAAAGACCACAAGCGTTAGACAACCAAATCCGAATTCCAAAGTTCTGCAACGAATCCTTAAAATTTATGTGTAGCTCTGCATTTCAGGCAACCTTACCATGGCTCTATTTAACATCTACCATCCTCTAATTTCTATATTTCCACACATCCAAGTTCTTTCCGTTTAAATATTTAAAAATAAATTACCTATGTATTATACATTATCAACGTAAAATCTTGGTTGACCCATTTTCACAATGTGACAAACACCAATGTCTCTAATGTCACTGCATTCCCAAATGTATTCAATTATTTTAAAGGAAAATTAATTTTATGCTGGAGACCTAACCTTCCGTAAAAGTTAAGAGCTAATTGAATGGAAAAGTAGCGACTCCGGTCTAGAAAACCGAAATTAACGTCCATGAGGATTCGTTGCGCTGACCACACGACACCCTCTATCCGCTAAAGTTAGCACTAACTTCGCAGACAAGTGGCGGTCGCTCGATCGGTATAGTTTGCTTGCGGACTAAAGCTACTCAGTTCTTTATTGTTTTGACTTAATCTTTCTGTTATTGTACTTGCAGAGTACATTGGCCTTGTGGTCTTTTATGAATCTGCTCCTGCCGCACGTGTCTCTTATACTGCTGTATCAACCTGTTATAAAATCTTAATTTACAGTGCTTAATAAATATATTAAGTGATATAAAACAGTTTATATATTAGTGTTAATTGATAAATAATATTATTATATATAAATATCTCTCTGAACTGTATCCACAGGAGAACCCGGATGAGCTCTGAGAATTAAACTTCAGCTCGGCTTCGAGCCTCCTCGATGTCCTTGGCGCTGTCAGAACGTCCGGGTGACCTGCGGACAACGGACTCCAAATCGTATTCGTCTTTCAGCGGAAAGGGTTCGCTGTTCTTGCTCCAGAGGTCAGGCTTCCACAATTCCGGTCTTTCTTCCATCGTCTTTTCCACTGAATTCCATGATAATGGCTGAGCTGTAAGAAAACACATCAGACATTTTCGTTTGCACCCTGCAATAATGCAATATGTAATTCATTATAAATTCATTGTAAATCTGTAGCTGACAAAGCTGACAGACATGTAAAAGAAAGGTAAATTCATCCCTGTGCCTGTTTAATGAAACATTGCAATGAAGACATATGTTGGAGCGAAGGTATAGTTCCACTATTTTTGACCTCGGTCCCATATGGAGGTGTGGTCAGATTCACGCCCCAGCCGCTTTACCCCCGGTGAAAGTGACATCGTTATCCATTGTGTAGGAGGTTAAGAGTCAGTCTGAACGCTGTTGAGTAGGGAAATAATTCTTCCCTCTGCCAGGAAAGGAACTCCGGTCTTCCAGTACTTAGCCTATTGCTATACTGACTGAGCTATCCCGGCTCTGCTGACAGTAGAACCGAAATAACTTGTTTACCTTCTTCGTGGAGGTAGTAGTTGGAACGACGAGACAGACCTGGAACTATGTCGGCTCCTCGGGGCCATGGCCAAGACACCAAATCTCGTCCCTCAGTCTGGAAAATGCACCAACAAAATATTTCATTAGATCATTGGCTACTGCCTTTGACAATGGAAAGATGCATAGGAAATGTTCGCCAGACAACGCGAGAAGAAAATACCACGTTGATGATTTAGGAGAGCGGAAGGGAGATGAAGGTGGAGGGTGAAACTGTACTTGCGTTTAATTAATTGAGCATCACAATATTACGACGTGTGTGGCAGTTTTACCAATCTATACTTCGGCAATACGTGGTCGTGAGTGGTGAACTTCACGACTCTGTCACTTTACGCCCCGAGGAAAAGACCCGGGCACCCATTGGGCAGGAGGCTGGGTGGACCACAGAGCGGATCTGAACCAATGTTTCTCAACAGCCGGGCCGTGGCCCGGTATGGGATCTTAGCATCAATTTTACCGGGCCTTCGTCTTCTAAAAAGGAGAATTTACCGAGACAAGGTCTCACAAAGATTGAGAAAAACTGATCCGGACAACCTAGAGAAAATAAAAATGGCTTGTCCTTGGCGGGAATGGAACCCAGGCCATCCAGCTCATAGACCATCGTTATATCGACTGAGATATCCCAACTCCTGGAAGGGTAATATCTCTTAAAGAAATAGGGTGTAAAGTTGTGGACTGGATTCATCTGGCTATTATAGGGTGCAGTTTAGGTTCTTGTGAACTCCGTATTTAAAGGACCTGAGGTTCTCACAGCGGTGGTTATGAAGAGCTCTATCTTCTGGGTTATAGCGCCGTGTAGCGTCTGAGGTTCTCACAGCGGTGAATATGAAGAGTTCTGTCTTCTGGGCTATAGCGCCGTGTAGCGTCTGAGGTTCTCACAGCGGTGAATATGAAGAGTTCTGTCTTCTGGGCTATAGCGCCGTGTAGCGTCTGAGGTTCTCACAGCGGTGAATATGAAGAGTTCTGTCTTCTGGGCTATAGCGCCGTGTAGCGTCTGAGGTTCTCACAGCGGTGAATATGAAGAGTTCTGTCTTCTGGGATATAGCGCCGTGCAGGGTCTGAGGTTCTCACAGCGGTGGTTGTCAAGAGTTCTATCTTCTGGGATATAGCGCCGTGTAGGGTCTGAGGTTCTCACAGCGGTGAATATGAAGAGTTCTGTCTTCTGGGCTATAGCGCCGTGTAGCGTCTGAGGTTCTCACACCGGTGGTTATGAAGAGTTCTATCTTCTGGGATGTAACGCTGTGTAGGATCTGAGGTTCTCATAGCGGTGGTTATGAAGGGTTTAATCTTCTGGGATGTAACGCTGTGTAGGGCCTGAGGTTCTCACAGCGGTAGTTTTGAAGAGTTCTATCTTCTGGGATATAGCGCTGTGTAGGATCTGAGGTTCTCACAGCGGTGGTTACAAAGAGTTCTGTCTTCTGGGATATAGCGCTGTGTAGGGTCTCAAGTTCTCACAGCGGTAGTTATGAAGAGTTCTGCGTTCTGGGATGTAACGCAATGTAGGGCCTGAGGTTCTCACAGCGGTGGTTATGAAGAGTTCTGCCTTCTGGCATATAGCGCTAGGTATGATCTAAGGTTCTCAAAGCGAAGATTATGGAGAGTTCTCTCTTCAGGGATATAGCGCTCTGTAGGATCTGAAGTTCTCACAGCGGTGGTTATAAAGAGTTCTGTCTTCTGGGATATAGCGCTCTGAAGGGGCTGAGGTTCTCACAGCGGTGGTTATGAAGAGTTCTATCTTCTGGAATATAGCGCTAGGTAGGATCTGAGGTTCTCACAGCGATGATTATGGAGAGCTCTCTCTTCAGGGATATAGCGCTGTGTAGGATCTGAGGTTCTCACAGTGGTAGTTATGAAGAGTTCTTCTGGGTTATTCAAAGTGAAGTCATCCAGGGAGGTCGCTCACCATTTTGAAAAAAATTCAAATTTTATACATTTATTTCTACATATTTTCACACCTCAAAAATATTTTTAAAAAATTGTAATCCGCACGCTTCTCCCGGTACAGCCGTTTTTATAATGCGAAAAAACGCTTTTTCGGCTCAAATGGAGGTTTGCGTCATCTTCTGAATCTCGATAACTGTTGCAGCTACAGACTCCAATGAAAACCAATTTGTTCCTCATCATATGGACAACAAATCGTATTATTACAACGTTCCACTCAACTCAATTTCTCTAGGTGTAATTAAACTTGAGACTTACCTATCGATTTTGGGAAAAACGCTACTTTGACCTTCAGAAACCAATGTGAAGGGAAAGCATCAGATCTGTGGTTTCTACACTTTGTCTTCTCCTACATGAAAAATATAATCTTATAGTTTTGAACACCGTACCTATTTTCCAAAATTTTCCAAGAGCTTCCAAACTTTGCTCTGGGCCCAAAATCTGCCACACTTAACATCTCACATCTCCGGTGGGGAAGCTCCGAAAAATTTTAAACTCCTTGCAAATAATGCTCTACTCTAGAGTAACATGGGGTTAATATTACAACTTTGATATTCAACTAATAGCGAAGTTTTTATATTGCGAAAAACCCGTTTTCGCCTGAAATGGAGGTTTGCGTTATCTCCCATATCTCGATAACTACTGAAGCTAGAGACTCCAATAAGAAACTAATTTGTTCCTCATGATATGCACTATGAATCATGCTATTACAAGGTTTCACTCAACTCACTTCCTCTAGGTCTAATTAAGCTCGAAACGTACCTATCGATCTTGGGAAAAACGTTAT